AAACATGTTCATTTGAATAACATCCATAGCATGCATTTAACAATTAAAACGCGGAATCATGCTTGCATGCATTCAAAAATAAAACATTACCCATGAAATTCAAAGCCTAGTAGATTGGTGAACCAAAACTCAACTCAAAACAAAGTGAGTTGAAATTATACCTTTGTAGATTCCTCTTTGCATAAGCAAAGGCTAATCACCCAAAGAGAGGGCCTTCATTCTTTGCTTCTTAGATCTATGGATTTGGATGGAAGAATATGTTTCTCCAAGTTCTCAAAATAGAGAACCTCTAAGTCTCCACACCAAGGTTAGATTTAAGTAGAAATGAGTGACCTAGAGGAAGTTGGATTGCTAGCTAATCTCCTCTAGGGTGGCCGGCCTCTTTAGAGAGAAATGAGAGCTTTGTGTTCTCATCCTTTCCCAAAAAAGAAACCCTAAATGAATTTTGGCTATAAAGTCATATTTATACCTTAATTCATTGGAGTGGCAAACTTGTAAATAAGTCCAAAACCCACTCCATCTCTAAATGGCCGGCCATAGGGATTCATTGGACTATTTGGGCCTTTGTGAATCATTATTCATTAAGTTGTCATACAACTTAAGTCAATGGACTTGACGTTCGAAGCCCATTGGGCCTTAAGGTCCAAACTATCCCGAGGTCTTTAACGAACTTATTCGTTTGATTAATTAACATATTAATTAATCCTTGCCATAAATAATTAAACCATTTAATTATTCTTACTCATCTCCGTTGTTTCTTCAATCTCTACCTTACACGGTGTATGATCCATTAGGTTCCTTTTTAGCGAGGCAGTGAGCGATTAAAACTCTTTCAAATCGATTGTGAATTGAAACTTACTTTCAATTCTCCCTTTAGTGTTTATACACGTTTAGGGCTTCCACAAACCAAGAGTGACACCTAGCAGCATATCATGGTTACCCAAGCTAATCAGAAGAGGTGGAGAACCTATTCAGTTTAGGACCACATTGTTTGGTTTGATAGTTTATTCATGTCTACTAACCAATGTGATTCGTGTGCTTATATGATTACCTTGAATGTGATTTGGAACGACTTCCTAAATCTCATTCATACTTTGGCCAAAGATTCTTAATCATATCATAGAGTATTCTCCCTCAAACGGTTTGAAGGTTAGAGATCCCTTGTTGCGCATTCACTTGCCTCCATGGCTAAGTGGCTTAACCCCAACGATGTCGTGGACACCCTCGAATGGAGTGACTTTGACACAATCAAAGATCAAGGACTTAAGCACAAGACAACTATGATGCCTTAGGTCAAATGACTACTTTGCATTATCCCAACCATGAGTTCTCATGTGACATGAGTATGAAAACTCTTCGTTGATCGTGTTCAGTGGACTCATTCGCTATTGAGCACCTACATGCTTATCTTGATGTCACACACACCAATTACTCGAGACTAGTCACTCTCCCTGAGAGAAGACACAACACGTACTGATCTTAACGGACTGTCAATGCCCAATTAGCAATCCTATGATCAGGAACGTTTAAGATATGTATACGAAAGAGAATGGTCTCATTAATCTAACTTGTTTAAATCATATTCTCCTGATTACATATTCCTTGGACTTATCGTTTAAGCATATAACATTTATATGAGACGGCTTAAACAATAATCTTTGCCCTTGATATTAAACTAGATTAGTTTAACATGTGAAATGTCCGTAAAGTATCATCATATGATTGGTTTTAGGGCACATTTCCAACAATCTCCCACTTGCACTAGAGCCAATCAGCTTGGTTATCAGTGATGATACCTCTTCTGTAGTCATTTCAAAAATGGCTGAGTAGTAGACCTAGGCAATGGATATCTATATCTTATCCATAGAAGCAACCTTGAGAATAACGACGTCACCATTATACATGATTCTCAATCATGTGGTTCAGTCTCTCATATGAGTTCAGATCTTAATGAGACCTTGATTCCCTGGCTTGAGCTATCGCCCCATTAGTGTCATAGTGTCAGTACACTAGATACACTTTCTGGTTGGAACCGAATAGGGAGTTCATAAATGAACTTTCCTATCCAAACAACATTGTTGTAAGCTTCTATATGGAAATATATTTTGCATTCATAATGGAACACACTAAAGTCATTAGTTTAATGTTTCCATCCAAATATCTCTTTAGTCATAATAAAGAGATATCTGTTTATCTCTTCATTCATAATGAAGAAACATCCAATGATGGATTAGATTCACAATCTAATACATTTACGCTTCCATTACGTTACTCTAATTCTTCCTCATTTCTTTGAGGAATCCATCCTTTAGTATTTCTTAAATACTTAAGGATTCACTTGACAGTTGCCATGGTTCTGATCCTGGGCTTTCACTGATATCGTCTTGTACCGTTCTAGGTACAACTCATATCAATATTTTTCATACAATATGAAATACATAAATCACCTTTCTGCTTACGCATAAAGGATTCTATTTACGCATTATTTCTTTGGGAGTCAAAGGGTACGTTCCCTTTGAGAAGGGCAACTTGCTAGTCTCACTAGAATCGTCCTTCTAATTGAAGTTTATCATTATATGAGAAACTTCCTAGCATCTCTTGTCTATTATTAGGGATTGATATAATCCAATTATATCCTAAAATCTATCATTATAGATTTACATCCCATGTATATAGACTATGTCTCCCATATACATTCTATCTTCATATAATGTTTTAAAGTCATAACTTTAACGAAGAAGTATTCTTTTCATTTCCAAAATTAATATATCATATATATTTGAATTTTAGGAACATGATTAACTCTCATATACATTCTATCTTCATATAATGTTTTAAAGTCATAACTTTAACGAAGAAGTATTCTTTTCATTTCCAAAATTAATATATCATATATATTTAAATTTTAGGAACATGATTAACTCCCACTAATCTTTTGTAAACCTAGTAAACAAAAGGTTCATTTACATCTTTATGAGAAATTAAACAATTTGAACTTTCTCTCATAAGATGCATATAGCTCCCACTAGCTTGCTAAGATTCATGATGGATGGATCTCTACAACTTATATGTCTTGTGATTCATAGTTTTAGACATATATATTATCAAGACTATCTTAATAATGGTTTCGAAAACCCATATAATGTCCAAACATTGAATCACCATTTAGTTGTAGCTAGCAATCTTCGAATTAATTGAAACTAAGACTACGTCAAAGATGGTTTCTTCAAAGTCAACCATTATCTTTGATTGTAGTCACCTTAAGCTACCAATTAGCTTATGAAGGTTTCATTATTTCGGGTCAAATGGTACTTTACCATTTCCTTGAGTATATATCATATATACACTCAATGTAGTCATAAGGATTTTCATTCTTATTTCTTTCGAATTAAGAGGTGCAACTCTATGACATAGTCATAAAGTTCAAACCATTCAACTGAGACGGTTTATAAATCCTTCTCGACTACCTTGGAGCTTTTGGTATAGGAACTAGGTTGTTTATATTTGTTGATTACTTTCTTGTCTCTCAAAGAACCCATTCTTTGAGTTCTATCTCTCGTTCATTTGCTTTTAGGCAAATCACATTGTAGGATTACAATGAACTACCCAACAAAACAACATTTGTTAATTGGTTTATAGAAGCGATATCCAAAAGTTAATTTAAGGATATCCCACAAGATTGTTATCAAACAAATATTGCTTATTAGCTTACAACCCCAAATCTTAACATGCTTGAGATTTGTCTTTCTTTCCAACTACATCTTATGGAGTTATGAAAAATTTGGAAGATCTTCTAATTGACAATCATATTGTTTTAGAAGTATATATCCTATATATGGGTAATAGATAACATCTAACGAACTAAATCTTATTCGAGTTTGTTCTTCTCCTTAATGGAGAAATTTATTATCTTATGATGCTTCTTTCCTTGATATCTTTCAAGGAGACTCATCTAAAGTGTTTCTTTTCCTTGGATCAAATCTAAGGAAGTAAATACTTTAGACGTCTTACTCATCAACTTAAATTTCTTGAATTCTTTGAAAACTTTTGCAAAGTATTCGGACTTGTGTTTATTCAAAATAAACTATAGTCCAACCGAGAGTGATCTTCGGTGAATGTCATACAACATGAGTAGTATTATGTTTGTGGACAAGTGCCACTAACATCTAAGTGAATTAACCTCAACAACTTTGTGATTCTTTCTTCTTTCCAAAAGAATAAAGATTCGAACATTTCGCCTCTATACAATTTTAACAAGAAGGTATTGGATCCGGATCTAACGATCCAAAGCATCCATCTATGACCAACTCGTAATTTATGTTTTAGAGGTATCACAACTTTAGTTGGGATTAGTCACTACCTTGCAACCTTTTGGGTTTTAAGCATCATTTTATTCTAAACAGTTAACACTACCATATCATCTCTACTATAGAGACAATCAATTAGATTACTATAATCCAATCATTGATTAATAAAGAACAATGTTTTGTCAAACAAAACATTCATCCATCTCTACTATAGTGACGGAATTAAGTTCCTTAAAATTGGAATGTAAAGACAATCTATGGTTTTTCCAATTTCTTTGGTAGTTCATATGAGGAAGTAAGTACTATCTGCTTTCGCAGAGATCTATATTTTATTCACGTTCCGAATGTGAAGCACCTTTTCTTCTCTCATATATCTTCTACTTCTTATTAGTCACATTTTTACAACGATTGTAAAACATAGTTACTAATATGGAATCAAGCATTCAAGTAGAAGAACCAACTGTTTTGAACTATTCAAGAACATTTTACAACACTTTCGAAAGGTGTGTTCTTGACACTTGCAAGACATTTCTTGCAATTACCCTTTCCAATGTCCATCCTTTCATGATCACACAATTAGCTCACTACGTTGTATGTCAATCAAATCGGATCAGAAAATATATATAGTTTCTTAGTGTACAGTATTATAACCGCTATTTTACTAAAATATTTATTTACATATTGTTTGTTGCGATGTGCTTGTTAGGTGCAAGGGTGAGAATTGAGTGCAAAGACAGGAACACCTTGCAGCTTGCATACAGCGTCGAGGGAGAGACTGATTCGACTGGAACATACAACATTTTGGTTGAAGAGGACCATGAAGACCAAATTTGTGAGTCTGTCCTTGTTAGCAGTCCCATAAGTGACTGTAAATCGGCAGACCCCGGACGCAGCCGTGCGAACGTTGTAGTCACCCGTTACAACGGTGTGGTTAAGGACAAGCGTTATGCAAATAACATGGGCTTCTTCAAGAACGAGCCATTGGCTGGTTGTGAAAAAATCCTAGAGCAATACAAGAACTACGATCAGCAGGAATAGAAGAAGAGCTAGCTTCTTGTTAGTCCGTATGGCCTCACTTTAGAGTTAAGTTATGTTGTTCTTTGCTATACGTGTATGCCTATCATTGATCTCAATGATGGTGTTGGTTTCTTTTCAACTTTGTTTAGTTTGTGGACGCTAATGTTTCAATCTTAATGTTCTGTTTCATCTAAATATATTTACTTTGGTCACTTAATTTGTGGCTTTCAATATGGATCCAGCTTCATCTTTAAACCCAGTTTTCATAAAATAAAAAAAAGCCAAAGTTATTCACAAATGTCACTTATTATATAAACCTTCAAATATAACAAAGAAAATAGACTCAATTACCCTCAACAACAATGAATTACAAAAATGAAACATAAAAATGATAGGGCTTTCGTCAAGCAGGGATGTGATTAATATAGCTAGATTTGACAATTTCTTGCACGACCTGTTAATCCTGCATGAAGTAACGAGTTTCAGGTCAACATGTTAACTAATCGGGTCGCTATCTGGTAACAACATAATCCATAAACCCTAGATGTATATTTAATGGTCGATTGCTGTTTATGATTACTCTCCATTCTCCTTACCGGATTTCGTATTTTTAATTTTTTTTTATTTTAAAAAACATGATCTTTTAGTAGATCCTAGAAAGATGCATGGTTCGGTTGGCGATATGATGCGTTCGGGTGAAAACAGCCATTTCCAATTATGGTGTGTGACCGGAATCCGCATTGGCTGGTGGATCAGCTCTGGACGGTACAACCTGATGTCTGCCAACTCATTGTTAAACTCTAGATTGAGAGAATGGAGAGCTCTAACCCTAACTTCGTTTATCGTGCCCTCCCAATCTTTATCGACAACCAGTATGTCCTTAAACCAATCCCTATCCTAGCAAGGAACATCCTGAATGTATGAATCCCAAATGGGACTAGGTCTGGCTAAGAAATAGTAGTGGTTGTCGAAACCCATCATGATAATAAGCAGCATTCTAAATTCTTGAGTGCCCAGGCCATCCCCATACCAAAATTGGTTTAGCAATTCAAAGCAGGTGATGGGTTTGAAGGTTGCTGGAGAAATATTGCAGATGACAATGTCATAACAAAAGGCAAGATACTTTTCAAGAAATCAGAGAGAGGGAAACGAAGGCCCAAGTCTAAGAACCAAGGATAAATTTTGGTGCAGGGACGCTGGGGATCAGACGGTGCTGGGAGCGTAGCATGAAAATCGTGGCCTGACTCCCACCAGACTCTACATTGGCCCAAGAGATCTCGATGGTTTTCAACAAAGGTTTGGCTTTCCTCCTAATTGCGAACCTTCATTGGAGGAAGATTGTAAGGCGTAATCCTAGGTGATTTGGTGCTCTTGCTTGAAGACGCCATACATAAGACTTTAAGAAAACAAGGAGAATTTTGAAATCGGTACGAAAAGAGAGTTGGAGCCTTTTTTGTGACAGCAGGTGATTTGAAGGTTTTGATAAAGTGGAAGGAAAAGATTTGAGGATATATAGGTTTCATTGGGGAGAATCATTTAATTGTCGAATCCAGACCGACTCACTTTGGGATTAAACAATCTTTCGGTTGGAATTTATGAAGAATATCGAAGAAAATTTCTTCTTTTTCGTGTAACGCCACCATCGTAAAGTCTCATCATTACACACTTTATGGCACAATATTCAAGATTGCATGTCTAAATCCAAAACGTCACCATTTCAAGGCCTAAAAATCGGATCAGACACAAATAAAGATTGAAGACTAAAATGGTACGTATTTCAGCTTACTCAGAAATGCATGATCTTTGGATAACAATCCATCCTCAAAGGGAACGAGTTGCCTCTTAGATGCATTGTTAAGGGCAATTATGGCACCATGATTTACCAGGATCGGATTAAGGCTGATCCGAATACAGTTACCTCAGAAGCCTGGTCATGTACTCACTAGCTTCAGACAAAGCTGGATCAGATAGAGTAGTGGTGCCACCATCACCATATTATGGGACAATAGACGGAGTCCTAGTGACTTCGCTGGATAACCACGCTTGTTCAACAAGACACTCGATCTGATCTTGATACAGACCCAATCAGATGGAGTTCTTACAATCTAGGAATTAACGTACGCCGTAAGTAATCAGAGTCCTAAGAGGGTGCAATATCTACTTTTAGATATCTTTAGGATTCTCCCTGCTTAGAACTAGGAATTTATCCTAAAAAGGTCTCTCTCCTAAAGGTATCAATACATCCATCTAGGCTTCATCTTTGGTAATGCAATCTAAACACTTCAATTTTCTTGCCCACTGTTTGAGTCTAAAATTTTTCACTAACTTGATTCTTGGAAAGCCTTTAGTCGACACCCCCTTCCCGCAGTCTTGGGCTTGCTCATGGCTGTTTACTGTTTTGCGGGTTGCTCGAGTTTGTGTATAATCACCACTCACAATGCTGTGCGAATTTGGTTCCAACAAGAGCCTTTTAGGATAGAATCTTGTTCTAAGCTGGGAGAATCTTAGATGATATTTGGAAATAGATATTGCACCCTCTTAGGATTTATGATTACTTACGGCGCACGTCAATTCCTAAATCGTAAGAACTCTAAGACGATTTGATTGAGTATATATCCAGATCAGAGCACGTGTCTTGCGGAACAAGCATGAACATCGAGCGAAGTCGCTTCGTCTTCGCCATTTACCCCAGAACAGGATGATGGTATCACCACTGCTCCGTCTAATCTAGCTTCGCTTAGAGTTGTTGAATACATGACCTGATTTCTGAAGTAACTTTATTCAGATCAGCCTTACTCGGGCTCTTGGAAATCATAATCTAGAAAATATACTCCTGAACATAATCTAGAAAATATTTCCACTCTGGACATTACAGAATATCATGGGTCTTTGAATTGCAAAGAGCACAAACTGTAGGCTTAAATCCATAATAACCCATTTCTGCTAATGAAACCCAAATAGGTGGTCCACAGGGTGTTAGATTGAATTCAAGGGGAACTGCAAATTCCATTGTTGCACTGCTCAAACAGAAACAAATTGTAACCTACCAAAAGCAAAATCAGCAATTAAATAAAAAGATATATACAAAAATAATTAACTAAGAGTTGATTGACACAAATTATTTAAAACAATCCCCGACAACGGCGCCACACACAACTAAGTTAACTTTGGAATAATCTAAAATGCCGTATATTGAATTCGTAAGGGTTCTTTGGGTCATCAAGTGAAGATGATATGTAAAGAGATAAAAGGTAAAGACGTAGACATAAGGTGTAGATAGTTCACCCTAAGTTAATTAATGATTAACATATAAATATTAAAATGATGCCTCATTAGTAATTTTCACCTTAGGCCTCATTAATTGGGTATTGGGATGGCATTTCAACCCAGTGATTTTCACTTCTTTGTTGTGTGGTTTAAGGTCTAAACCAAACCAAACTAAACAATACCTACATTTTACATTAGAGACAATGTTGATAAATCATGACCCAAAGTAATAATAATTTAGAGAGATCAAATGTTAAGTTTAGGTCTTAGCTAAGTCTAGCTTTCCTTGATCCAAAATGTAAACGTTAAACTTCTATTATCACACCAACCTCAATGTAGGGCTCGCATAGTAATAGAGTTCTTAGAAGATACAAGATGATGAAGACTAAGGCTTACTCTTCTAGGAATTCAGGTTTGGTTCATGCATTGCATAACAATATGCATTTGTGTTTCATGCCTAGTCAAGTTTGTGGACATGCGTAATTAACTTGTCACATGACCTGACTTTTACACTGGACATGTCATGCCACACCTCAACTTATAGCTCAGTCCTTGATGAACCTTCATGAACCCATCTCTACATTTTGATTGAAACGTTCTAAGAATATCTCAGTTCTTGCATTCATTTTAGTAACTCAGCTCAAAGCTCTCATCTTTAGAACTCTTGGTACATATTCATTCTAAATCTTCTTAGTCCGTTGTGTTCGATTGAGGAGATTTATGCTATTGTTGGATCTTCATCTTTCATTGGTGCCACCGGTGAAGAGCTTGTGCTTGAGTTGTCATCATTCTAAAAACCGTCATTTGATCTCATGCTTAAGCTTGTGTGTGAATGATAATTGTATGAACTTGATATTCTGATAGTGATTGGAGCTCTTTAGAGTTCACTAGATTTTTCACCCAGTTATGCGTTTTCTGGGCAAAAATCTTGTGTGATTGTTTGGACCCGATTTTACACCATCGGCCCATGCAATCAGGACTGTTGAGTGAGCATGACTCCCAACCGTCGGATATAAAGATAAAAATCGTTTTGTTATTATTAAAAGATAATGTTATGATTTTTATCATAATCTTTTAATAATAATGTATTATGAGAGATCTCCAAGCTGGGAATACGGTGGCATAATTCAAGTCGATCTGGATGTTTGGTGTATGAATATGTGGATGGGATCAGTGTGGATGATTAGTATGCTGCAAATTGATTATTATATATTTAAATATGGATAAAAAATTTGGTGTAGGTGCCAGGAATTAGCATCCCGAGGTGGTGGTTTAAATGAGGTTTGAAAAGTCATGGTTAATGGAGCAGATAAATATGGATGCAGATGGGATAATTATCATCTAAAGTATAGATGGGATATGCCTTTTTGATGTTGTGGTTTTGGTCACGTGGTGTGCTTTTTGGGATTATTGTTATCCGTGCATGGCTACACATGGATCAATGTGATGGAAATTGAGTTCTTGTTGGACTAGGAGTCTCTGAAGCAAAGTCAGAGGATGATGGTATCTAAATGATAGGCTTTCATTTACTTTGAGAGAAGTTGTTGACTAAAGTTCTAACTAGTGAGTTTGAGTTGAAATCAAATACTAGCGTGAAGCAACGCCACATAACATTTTCTCCTATAAATATGAGACACCATGCAACTATTCAAGGACCTCCAATTCAACACACAAAACTGTCATGCGCAAACTCTCTCAACAACTTTGAGATTTTTTTATTTTCTTTTTCACCGACACATCTTCAGTTGACATAA